AAAAAAAAAAGTAATTAATACTGGGGTAAAATAAAACGAGTTCATCAATGCCAGGAAAATCAATTTCCTAAATGTTCTGGCCGATGGCTTTTCAGTACATTAAACAAAGTTTCATAAATGTCTTTGCGCTCTCGCCTTGGCCTGATATGAAAGGGAAGTCATTTTACTGGAAGTAAGGCCGGGCCCAACCTGCTGGGAGGCAGGGGCAGACAGGCCCAAGGACAGGTAGAGGTGTGGGCCGGTGGCGGTGGGGAGAGAGGGGGACAGCAGAGACGCTGGGGGCTGGGGGGCACGACTGCTGCACCTGTGGCAGGACCTTCGTTGACCCCCCCTGCCCATGGACATATCGGCTCTTGTCCCCAGCAGGAGAAGGGGTCCCCAAGGAGTTGGGTTCCCAGACGCGAACCTAGGCAGGAAAAGGACTGATGGGCCTGACCCTCTGCCGAGACAGATGATGGGGAAGACCGGCTCACACCTCCTGCCCGCCTCTACTTTCTCAGGCCCAGAATGTCCACCCATCCTCCACATCTGTCTCTACTCACGGAAAGCACAGATCCAGGAAGCAGCCCTCCAGCCCCAAACACACACACACACACACACACACACACACACACTCCTGAGCCAGCACCCCAGCTCAGCGGTAGGAGAGAGTCGCCCTCCCCCGGGGATCTATGGGACCTTGTGGGCAGCAGGCTGACTGGGTCCTTCATACACACTCACTGGACACCTGCTGTGCCTGTGTCCGCACCAGGCTCCCTCCCCAGCTGTGAGCAAGCGCACTTGGGCACATGTGGGGCTGCAGGGTGTGGGGGGGTGCAGCAAGGGTTGGAGAGGCCCAGGGTCCCCTCTGACCCCGGCCTGACCTGGCAGGGCAGAGATTCCAGACCTTACGTGGGGGCCTGGCAAGGCCAGCCTTGCATTTGGGGCCAGTGGCAGCTCAGGCTCTGGGGGTGGGGTGGGGGAAGGGGGCAGAGCACTGTGGGGATTAGGATCCCACTAGGAGAGGAGAGGAGAGGATGTTGAGGGCAGCCACCTGGCACCAAATGGGCAGTGACTGGAGGGGCCAACACAGCTTGCTCCCCAGGGGAGGGGCAGTGACCAGCCTCTGTCCTGACCTCTAGCTCACAGGGCCGGGGGGCCTGGCTTGAGAAGGGTGGGCGCTGGCGGCTGCCTTCAGCGGCTCAGGGACCAGGGAAAGGGGCTAAAAATAGCCGGAGGCAGCTGAGCCCTCGCTATATATGGCAGGGAAACAGAAGGCTTTGAAGGACAAGAGGCTTAGTGCGGGAGGGGGCCAGGCCGGGGGTCCCCGGCAGCCTGGGGGCCTGCATTCCTGAGCCCCAGGGCCCTGCCTGGGAAGGTGGGCTGCAGCCAAACCCAGACCATGTGGAGCAGGCATCAGTCCCACCCAACCTCCAGTCAGAGGGGTGAGGCCAGGGCCACGAGGCAGGCAGGAGGGTCAGGCACTGCCTGCTAACCTCGGGGCTCTGCCCTGCCCTGCAGCGGGAGGGGAGGGCGGCCAAGGCCCACTGGGCTCCCCTGGGCCTGGGGTGTGGGCTGGGCGCTAAGGGACAGCAGCCCTGTCCCTGTCCCTCTCCTCAGGGCCGGCACAATCACCTTGTGTCGGGAACAGCAAGGGCTCTTCCTATCAGAGGAAACTGAAGGTCACACTTTTCCTCATTGATCTTGCAATGTTTGTTAATTACTCTGTCACTGATGTGGCGAAGGATAATTAAACAGCTCTGTTTATATCTTATATGCATAATTATGTGGCTGCGCAGGGCTCCCCAGCGCAGGGAGGAGATGCGCCCCTCGCCTCCGCCCAGGGGGAAGGGGACGGGAGCGGGCAGGGGCGGCACAGGGCACCAGGCGAGAGTCTGGGAGAGAAACGGGGGGCAGGGGGTGGGGAAGAGGTGATAGCAAAGACCCCAGGCCTCAGGGCTCCGGTCCTGGTGGGGTCCCCGTGCCCTCCCTCTCGGGGAGCAGAAGAGGTTTGTGAAAAGCCAGTCGCAGCCAGCTCATGGGGAGCAGGTCAGCCAGAGGCCGGGGCGGGCAGGTGGAGTCACTGGAGATGCCAGCCGGCCTTGCCTAGTGGCCCAGAGCCTCAGCAACTACTCAGGGCACAGGGCCCTGCCTGCAAGGGAGCTCCTGTGCAGGCAAAGGCAAGGGAGAGGAGAGGGTAGAGGCAGCTTGAGCACAGGACCAAAGCATATCTGGGAGCTTCCAGGAGAAACCTCCCTGAAAAACCACACGTGGAGCCCCCTGCTCCACCCCCCACCCCACCTCCCAACTCACCTGCAGGTCCTGTGGTCCCCAGGTGTGGTAAACACAGAGCCAGCTAGCTACTCAGCCACTCACCCACCCATCCATCATCTGCCCACTGTCTGTCCATCCATCCACATGCATCCACTCACCGTCCATCTGTCTATTCATCAATCTACCCACTGACTACTCATCCGTCTATCCTTCCACCCATTCACCCACTTAGCCATTCACTTCCTCACCAACTATCCATCTATCTGCCTACCAGCCCACTGTTCATCCCACACTGTCCCCACCCCACCCCTGCTTTCCATCCATCCTTCTGCCATCCATCCATCCGTTGGCAGCTCCTAGTCCAGGTCACACTTGGGGAACCATTGTCTTTGCCTCTTCTCTCCTGTGGTGGTCTTTTCCACCCCTGGGCAACTGGCCTCCCCCATCCTAGTAATGGCCTTGGGCCTGAGCCCCCCAGCCTTTCTTTCCTCCAGCGACCTCACTGAGTTTGAGGGAGGTACCCAGATTTGAAGCACGGGTGGGGGCGGCATGCCTGCTCCTTGGCCACAGCACACTGCCCCTCTGGGCATCATGGAATTGTGTGTGTGTCGGAGGGGTGGGGGTAGGGGGGTAGGTTTATCTTCCAAGTCACTCACCCGAAGTCTGCTTGGCATTGGGGCCACTGTTGTCCTTGGCAGCTGCCCGGTCTGAGTTCTTCCCCTCCAGGCCACTGCCGCCCTTGGCAGGCTCTTCCCCATGGTCCTCCTCATCACTGCAGCCCTGGGGCTGCACCATATAGACGCCCTCAGGGGGCTGCTCCTGGCCTTCTCGGGCAATCCGCCCCAGCACAGGGGGAGGTGCCGGCTCCTCGCTGTACTCCCCGTTGACCCACTTCTCGATCACTGCTCGCCTCTTGTCCTCTTCACTGCGCGGGGCTCGGACGACCCCCGCCTCAGGGCCACTGCGCTCCTTGTCCCGAGGCCGAAGTGGGTTGCCCTCGGTGTGGGTGCCGGCCTCTGCTCCCTTCTCCACCACCACCTGGCGGCTCAGCTTGGCACAGATGGCATTGAGCTTCAGGCCACCTTTGCGCTTGGTGGCCATCGCGGGCTTGCCTGCAGGCGGGTCGGAGCACTGGGTGCTTTCAGCTGCAGGGATGGAGGAGGGCACGGGTCAGAGGTTCCAGGCGCCCATGGGCTGGGGCCTGGGCTCTGCCCCACACCCTCCAAGGCAGAGGTCTTACCCACCCAGGTTCCCCCAGAGCCTGGCACAATGTCTGGCACATAGTAGGTGCTTGGCCAAACAGATTGTGAATATAAATGCATGCCTTCATGCATGAGTGATTCTTCAAATACAGGACACATTCTGGTCCTAGGTCTGCTTCCTGGAAGCATTTCCTGGGTGTGGTGGCCTCCTGAGAGATGGGGAGCCCTTCTGCCAAGGGGAGGGAGCCCTCTCCTGTCAAGGGGAGTGGGGAGCCTGTATTGGGCCCAGCAGCACTGGGCCGGGCCCTCCTGCCGGCTCCCATGCAATGCCAGCCTCCCAAGTACTGGAGCGCCTGGGAGCCCCTTCTACAGCTACTTGGGACCCTCCCGAAAGTCACCAATGTGTCCCTCTTGTGAGGGGCTTCCCGGCCCCTTTCCAGCCCCTCCCTTGGCTTCTTGGTCATACTATTCCCTCACCCTCAGGAATAAGAGAGTCCCAGGGCACAGTGCCCAGGCCTGACCCAGGGTCACTTGTCTGACTGCCCTAGGACCTAACTCATTCATCCATCTCAGCCTCAGCCAGCTCCTGCAGGCCCAGAAGCCTCGCTGGCTCCAGAGTCCACCTTCCAGCCGCAGAGGCAGGCCGGGGCCCTCGGCTCGAGATGGGAAGCCCCGAGTGGTAGAAGCACCAACACCTGCACACAGCAGCGGTCTGACTCGGAGGGTCGGCTCAGCGTCACCGACAGCAAGGTCTTGGGGGCACAACAAGCCCGCCCAGCAGTCTGGGACTTGCCACCAAGGCCAGCCAGGGCAAACACACACACACACACACACACACACACACACACGAGTGCCCACACATGTTTATCTGCCCGTTTGTCCATCCACCCAGTAGTCTCTAATGAGGCCCTGCAGAGTCAGCTCCTGTGGGGTGGGTGTCTCAGCTCACACTCATGGGTGTGGGGACAGACTCTTGGTGTCCCAGATCACATGCCCATCAGAGAACTGGGCAGGCCCAAGTCCTCACAGAGGCCAAGCTCCCCTCACCCACAGCCAGAAGGGGACCCCTCAGGGGGTTCCTATAAAACCCACACGCTGGAAGTCCTCAGGGGCCACAGCCTGTGCCTGCTGAGGCTTGACTCACCCCGACACGAGTCCCCTGCTACGCAGTGCCAATGTGCATGATATCATTGATCCTGAGAGCCACCCAGCCACCAGCAGGGGAGTTTGCTCACCCACCCCTGCCCCCGCCCCGTGACCCTACATTGCCCA